TTCGCTCGTATCGGAGTGAATACTGTTGTAAAAAAATTAAATTTCATGAATATATTGGTAGTAATTTTTAGGAGATCACCATACGGAGAGAATATAAAATAAAATTAAAAATTTGATTCATTTTAACCGAATTTTTACTCCTATCAAATTGAATTTTATTTTTTCATCACGCTGTGACGAAAAGTGAACTTTTCGGCACGCTCCGCGTACCTAAAAGTCTAATTTCCGCCACATTGTGATGAAAAATATTGTTCGTAGCTCGTGAAAAAATATTTTTTGCACTCTTTACGAAATATACTATTATGGTACCATTTTCTACTACACCGACTTTCAATTTTTACTTTGTTCAACAGTAGATTTTCGAGAGTGGTAGGTATGATCCTGCATTCGATTTTGTCATATTAAAAATTACTGTGTTAGCACAGTAAAAAATAACTTTCCATTCTTTTGGCGCATTGAATGGGATTTGGGAGAAAAAAACCTGAGATTTCACCAGTTTTGAGCAGCAAGAAGACGCGGATTCCCAAACTCGCCTCAATTTTCAATCAAACCATGAATATTCGGTACTTAAATTACCTCGAATATTCGATTAATTGGATATTCCAGGATATTTTTACAGAATTTTCCAGACTCCCATCAATTCTTTTAGACTAATTGAATTGAAATTTAATGTTTCCATTGACTTTTTCATCAAATTGTAAACAATCAATTCCAAAATTTTAAACTTAAACTTAATCCACCGCAAATTCCAACTGCAAGTACAAAATTCAGTTATCAGACTTTATTTCCCCTCTTCTCATAAATTTTTTCACAGCACGCCTGACTACCAGCCTTACCGGGGTCATAGTTGACCCATTCGTCGATTAAATCTCACGGCTTTCTCCGACCTCCGTGGGGTCTGAGCAGACATCCTGTACCTAAATACAATATGTGCCCAGCGGACACGCGCCGCGCGTGAACCATTGCGCCAATCCCCCCGAACAGTATGTGTGTCCCAGAGACTGTTGGATCTACTCACCAGATAAGAAAAAGTTGAAAACCCATTGTTACATTAGACTTGCACGATCTGTGCCCCCACACAGGAGAATTTATCCAAATGCTCGCCTTTCAAATATCTCTGCACCAGATTTTTCACATCCCGCATTAGTGCTCAACACATTATGACTGGGGGGGAAAGAAAAATGTGAAATAGTGAAGAAATGAGTTCTGGCCAGGTCACGAGAGCAATGATAAATTGACCGCATGACAAATGCCAGTGAAGAAAGAGCAATAGCTGTTACCTAAATTGTCAGTCCCTACAAATCCCCGAGACTCGATCGAGAGAGCCATAAATTAGTTCAACAGTTCCGACAAAAATATCCAAACGTTCAATTAACTCCCTTTTTTCAATTCAATATTTTAATATCCTTCCTCTCTGCATGTTTATCCTACTTCTAGTCCAGTGGACGAGGGAAAGGCGGTGAGATTTAATCTCAACGCTATGCGCCTCTGATATCTCTACGTCTTCTTTTGTAGAGCGATTTGCATATACACTGAGGTTGTATACCTCGAAGGCGCGTGCTTAATTAACGTACGATAATCATTAATACCCGCGAGAGATCAAAGTCGCCTACACTCGGCTGTGCCCTGCGGCCGAACACGCGCCCCACGTGCAAAAACAGTGTCAAAATAAAAATTATAACGATTGATGTCAATTGTCGGGGCAATTTGTTTCGCATTTGATTCAGTGAAGAAAGATTGTGAATAAATATGAAATGTTATTTGTTGATTGAATTTTAAAAATCAATTAATGCAGTTGAAGGATGCAATTGAGAGTCTCTCGTTTTACCGCGAGAAGAATTCGGCCATGACCCGTGCAAGGGGGGGAAGCCACGACCCCTTGACCTCGCCGGGGGACTAATTGGGATGAGAGGCATCGAAGGGATCCTGGGAGAGTCCAATCCACTCGGAAGAATTGCGGAAAAAAATCTTCACGAAGTAATAATGGCAGATCAATAAATAAAGCAAAAGTAAGGGAGGGAGAATTGAGGGCTGCAGACCTTTTCATTCGGAGAGTTCCTAGATTTCCGAATACTTTATTCGATTTTTCATTGCGAATACTTTATTTGAATAAACATTTAAATTGAAGTCAGTCTAGGGGAAAAACGTCATGGAATTGAATATTTTACTGAAAATTCAATGAAATTCCAAATTTTTTAGCAACAGGACGACGAGAATTCCTAAATCTACTTGGATTTTCAATGAAACCGTGAATATTAATATCCAGTATTAAAATGACGCTCAATTTGCAGTTGAAGGAAAATTTAAGAATATATTCACCTGAACTTTTCGGATTTTTATACATTTTCATGGAATGATTGAACTGAAATGTGAAGTTTCCATTGATTTTCTCAACAAATTGTGAATTTTCAATTACGAAATTTCACGGAATTTTTGGAGACCGCTGGGAAATTTTCATCAAGTGATAATTCCACTGAAATTCCAAGGGATAATCAATTAATTGAACTGTGAATTTCAGTACAATTAATTCGTAAAAGTGAAAAGAAATCCAGGAAAATTCAGGTGACAGTACTCTTAAATTTCCAATTAATTCAAAATTCACGTAAGTTGAAAATTCTCGTCTTTCTGTTGACCAAAAATGTGGAATTCCGTTGAATTTTCAGTAAATTTTGAAACTTTCTGAATCATGTTTATTTATTCAACAGATGACGAAACAAATTAGCTTCAAAAGTTTGAAAGTTCACGGGAACATTTGTACAGAAGTGAAAATATTTTCAATTCTAAAAATCCCAGGGAATCACGTGAAATAAAAAACCCAACAATCACTCTGTCATGATATTCGGCAGTAAATAATGCCTCGTGTATAATCCTGTTGATTTGCGAGTAAAAATGATGGTTGTGCAGGGATAAAGGTGGAGCGGTCCCATTGGCTAATTAAGACGTCTTCTAACGCCGCATGGCTCAAGAAGAGCCTGACGAAATCGTCGGATAAATCATGAGCAACGTATGCCAAGATTTATGACTACCACTCGGGGGTAGAAGACGTACGCTGTACCTCTCGCGTGACGCTCTAAGCGCACATACCGTATGTATTTCTATCCCGTATGTTAAATCTTAAATATGTATATGAAGGTGTTTTGCACTTATCGAGAGGCCTCTGGGACTCTTTCTCTCACGTGCCCGAGTAATTAACCGAGTGCGTCGGGGTTACGATGCCGACACACACATACTCCAGTGGTCCATTAATCGCGTTGAACGAAATAAAGAATAAGGCGGAATGTTCAGTGGATGGAGAGAATAGGGGAACGTGGGTGGCACGCCCTGGGCCCTTGTGGAGGTGTAGACGGAACAATAAAAAAGAGTGTTGACGTTTGTGCAAAATTAAATCGGACATATACCCCGGGAATGGATAAAGCGACTTTGAGGGCTTCAGTAAGGGCTCGGCATAACGAAGCATTTCATAGCACGAAACGAAGCACGAAAAATTTTGTTAAAAAACCCACGGAATTCGCGACACTGTTACGAATTTCCGGGCCAGATTCCGGAACTTTTTATCGTATTCAAGTTCCACTGAATTTTCAGGAAATCTTGTCATTGAAAAATTAAATATTCCATTGATTTTCTGTTCAAATGATTTGGAAATCAATCAAATATTTGATTGTTTCAGGCCAATTATTCTGTGAAAAATCAGATGAAAATTACGTGGAGGAGAATCAATATTCCGGTATTTTCATTTCTGCCTATTTCTTGCGAAAAATTTTCTACAGAAATTTTTCTCTATGTAGGGAGAATTAAATGGGAGCGAAATCGGTCGGTACAACTCACTTATTCGATTTTTATGCGGACAACAAAAAAGTGGATTTACCAAAAATGTCAATCCAACTAGAGATAATATTCAAATGAGGAATGAATAAAAAGGATGACTCATGACTATGGGTTGTGAGCACTTCGCGAGCTGGATCGTAATGAGGATATGTTGTGATGGAATTTTGGAGGGTCATCGTTTTTTGGGGCACGTTTCGACAATTTCAGGTTGACTATTCAGTCGGAACTTGAAGTTTACAGGAGAATTTTCAAATTTATGCACGTGATATATGGGATTTCATGAGCTGTTGGAGTCTTCGTTAATTTTCTAATGATGAAACAGATTATTCAGGGGAGGTTTTTCTTACGATGGAATGATTGAAGGGAAAATAAAATTTCATGACATAAGTCGAGAGAAAAACTATTTGAACATCGAAATTATTGAAAAAATGCGTGATTGCGTGATTTGGCTCTTTTTTAAATTATTGCACGACTTTTAAAGTATGCTCTGCCATTTTGCAGTGCTCGACAGGGGCTGGGTAGGGGGCCGTCCCAAAGGAAAATTTTGAGTTAGTTCAATCGACGAAAAAATTCGATTTTGCCGAAAGTCGACTTTCCCCTTGGAAAAATCCAAGATCTGACACCCTGGCCCCAGCTGAATATGAAATTTTTTTTCATTCGCCCAAAATTGATGATTACCATTCAAAAGATCGCCGTCATTGCTAAATGCACCGTACAAAACCTTTTTCTCGTTGCTAATAGCTCATTTACCTCTTCACTGGCTGATTCAACTTATTATAGGGGCGGGTGGGGTAAAACGGACACTTTAAACTTTCTTAAAATGATTCATAACTCAGAAACAAATTGATCAATTGAGCTCAGTTTAGGCTCGTCACAAAGGGAAGGAATTGTTCTTTGTATTGACAAAAAAAAAAAAATTAAATTTCATCAACATTTCAACCGCTTATGAACATTTAAAAAAAAGTCAAAAGTGTCCGTTTTACCCCAACCTCTCCTATTCTGTTGCCCGATGACCAGTTCGATCCAGTTAGTAATTCCGCTGGAAACGAGAATAATCCCGCCATCTTTCACCGTGCCGCTGCACTAAACATATCGACTGGTAAGTCATTTCCTGAAGTTATATCTCCAATACCGAGTCCTTTTTAACCACCTTATATCAGAATCTGCCCATCCGGGAATTCGTCCACAAATTTCCGTGCCCATCTGTTCCATCGCCTTCCGTACTGACGCCTTTTTCCCTAGAATGTGTCCAAAACGGAATGTGTGCATCTGAGATTGTTCAAACGCCTACGCCCCCCCCCCGCCATTTGGGTCTACCATTCGCAGCCCCTCAATATATAGAAACTGCTATTCTCAATTCTCGCGGGAACTCCAGGGAACTCACCTGCTGAGATAAACCCATAACCTAAAGCATCGGAAAGTGATCCTTATAAATGCTTGTCTGGTATATTTTCTGACAGAAAATTGTCATTTTGTTGACAGAACATTTCAACAGTTTTTTTTTCTATTATCATATAAAAATGGATTCCTATGAATTACTGGAGCGAGCAACAGCATTGCTCGGGAGCACAATCCGTAATTTTTCGATTGGTGCAGTGACATTGAGTGATTTCAAACCCATTGAGGAGAAAATCAGAGATTTGAGGGGAATGATTAAGTGTTTGACTGCTAGAATTCAACTGCTCCAAGCGATAAATGAAGCTAGTATGTAAGAGTTTTCATAGCTAATGTATTTGTATTTGGTTTTATGAAGAATTTAGAGATATATTTCGTATATTTCTTTAGGAGCAATACCTGCAGTATCACCAGCACAGCCCAAAGAACTGGAGAAGAAAATGCACGAGATTCTATCATCGAATCATTTAATTAAATACGATGTATTTAAAAATACACTGCATTCACATGCCGCAGAGAGTCTTTTATCTAATGATCAAATTTCTCCAGAGATGAAGAGGTAAACTTCTATTTTTCAAAAATTGAAATGATTGAAGATGGTAATGGGTGAAAAAATAAAATTACTATTTAGGGATAGTAAATTTATGCTAGAAAAAAAAATTAGTTTCATGGTTTAGCACTGATTGTTAAGACAGGGACATTGAATTCGATTTAGAATTAATGATTTAATTTCAAAACACGAATATTTAGCATCAAATTGCGCTGAATTTTCAATTCTTTGAAAATTCGAGAATACATTTACCAAAATTTTCAGAATCCCATAAATTTTTATGGAGTAATTAAATTGAAATTTTCAGTTTTTATTGATTTTTTCATTAATTTGTGATTTTGTAATGATGAAATTCGTTGAAATTATGTTTACCTCAGGAAATAAGGAAAATGCAATCAGTCAATCAAGACAAATGTCCTAATCTTCCCATAAATTTAAAAAAATTGATTCGTCATAATCATATCCACAATAAATTTTTACAGTAGATTGAAAGCAGTCATGGCCAAGCTGTACAGTCAGAACGATAAAATAATCGTTCTTCAAGAGGAGATGGACAGATTGCGCACAAAAGAGAGGACACTACAGGCAGAAGTGGCAGCATCAATCATTGACTTCCAAAATTTCCTCAAGGAGCAAGAGAAAGTCCGAAATGAGAAGCTTGCGTTGTCAAACCCTGATATCGCAAGGTACGATTCACACCATTCCTCCCAATTTGATCAGTAACACAGAATTACAATCCTATTTATATTTCAGGAAGAAGCAGAAACTGAAGAAGATGATAACGAAGATAAACATCTCCAGGAGGATAATCACGAGCATCATAAGTGCTGCCAGTACGACAATAACTGATAATCCAGAAATGTTGAGGATGTTGAAGGACCATCGAGATATAGTGGATGAAGAGACGATTATGGAGATGGCGAACAATCGAGAGGCTCAACAGGAATCTCCATCCTAAAATCTAGAAAACTGGAATGAAAAACCTTCAATTATATTTTAATATGTGTAATTTTTTAAATAAATTTCATCATTATTTTCCTAAAAACTTCGTCATTGCATTATTAATGGAAACATGGGAATATGGGGAAAACTACCGGAGGGGAACGATGTTGGGGCCAACGGAAAAATTATCAATATTGAGAATTCATTTCAGTACAGCCAAAAGATCATATTTCGAGATGAGATGCAAAACTTTTATACACAGAGCAATCTGCAGGCCTAATAACACCTGTGCAATAGCACCACAAATTTACAATTCGATTGGTTGTTTCAATTAATTCAACTTAATCAAGAAGATTGAAAGGAATAGAAAGCTTTAACTAGAGTTTCGAACTACATGCACTGTAGTAAAATCCATCGTTTCTGGAAGTGGGAAAAAATCAGAGGAGGAAAAAGTTGCAGGCGTTTTTAGAAATTATCAATATGCATAATTTATTTGAGTTAACTACAAACACTCGTACAGCGAAAGTTACAAAATTATTTGTTGAGAATATGGACAATTTTGACACCCAAAGAAGAAATTGAGATATTCAGACAACGGCATGTGTTATAACTTCCCAAAATTTTCTCAAAGCCCAAGAAAAATTGAGAAATCGCGAGGTAATTCTTCATATCAACACAATTCAAATCTTTCATTCAATAGTTTTAATTCATGGAAGAAAGAACAAAAAGAAAAAGAACATATGACGAAAATAAATATCGGTTCCCTCTCACATTTTTGGATTCATCAGAGTTCCCTCCCACGAATTAGTCTACACCAGATTCAATGTCTCTTCTCTTCTGGCCCGTGAAAATCGTTTTTGCCTCCATCAGTATCAGTTTCAGTAGCTTCATTTGAATTATATCAAGCCCTGCATAATATTCAGGATCAAACCCAGAATTTGCCCAGTAATCTCCCTATATTCTCCCATCTTCCTATCAACGCGGAATTCACGTCACTCTTTCAACATTTCTAATTCATAAAGAAAAGACCAAAATAAGGAACTCACAACGAAAATGAATATACCCAGAAGAATAATTACGAGCATCATCATTAACAAGCCAAAAGTCTGAACTGTTGTTTCATCCCTGTACTATAAAAAATCACACTCATATCCATAAAAACCTTTGTCCCAATCGATTTAATGATCAGTCTGCGTCGATTGATGTGCGCGAGAAGGCAGAGGCAGTATGGTATCTCCAACGGACAACGATCCCTGCTGAAAGCACTGAGTTTCATTCGAGATCCCCCTGTTCAATAGCACCGAGCCACTCCTCATTCTCGCGATGGGTTCCCTCCCACGAATTTGTCTGTACCAGCCTCGATGTCTCTTCTGCTCTGGACTTCGAATGTCATTATCCGATTCGTCAGTATCGGTTTCCGTAGCTTCAGTAGCATCAAACGAAACCAGCGCTTCTCGTGATCGTTTCAAAGGTCTCGCAGGGTTCGTTGGCCCCTCCTCAGGCGGATCAATCTTAATCGTCGGGATCGGTTGACGGGCCTGTTCTTCTCCCATGACAGGTCTCGTTGAAACCGCCTCTGAGATGTTCTTGAAGGCTGTCCTGACGGCGTTGGCAACAGCTGAGAACAGGCCACCGCCCTCAGACTTCTCAGGTCTCTTCCTCTGGTCGGACTCCTCAGAGGAAGGCTTACGATAGTGCTCGATGGTTGAAACACTCTTGTAAGTATCAACAGACACCACAAATTTCTTCTGCCCGTGGGAAGTCTCTCCCGACGAAGATGCCCCCTGTTGCCCAGAATTCATGCTCGTAGTCACTGACTCCAGAGTCCTCAGCCCAGAGTCAATGAGTGGAGCCAGATCTACGGTACCACTGGCTCCTGTCTTCTCCACCAGCACCATCATCACGACTCTGGAAGTCTCCGAGACCTTCGTGCTCACAAATTTCTCCCCTTCACTCTGTTTCTCAGAGGTGGGAATGCCCTTCTCAATATTCGTGTTCTCGATATTCTCCTTATTTCCTCGATTCTCCTCGTCCTCCTCGTATTTCACCAAGCTGAGATCATTCAGTGGTCTGAAGATCGACGAAGGCTTGACATTCTCTTCCCCGGGATCAGTTCCACCGGGAGAACTATCAGGATTTATGACAGTGAACTCCGACAGACTCTGCCTGGCCTCGAAGAACTCCTCAGTACCACTAACGCAAGATTTACTCAGACTCATCTCACGTTCTTCTTTCATCTCGAATTGATCGGAGAATCTGACTCTCTTTCCAGAGTCCCTGGCCTCCGCTGGGAGTTTGAAGACTCCGTCCAGGGGTGTCTTCACCTCTTGATTGGCCTGATGAAGAGATAAAGAGGTTGAGCCCTGAGGGTCTGTCAGATCCATGTCAGCACTGGTTCCTTCCAGCTCCAGCATCCTGTCTCGAGGGGGCTCCAGACTCTCCACTGGCGATCTGCTCAGCAGGATTGATTTCAGGGAGGGCTTCTCCGAGGTGTCCCGTCTAGTCGACGGGGAAAAGCTGAGGTACACTGACTCTGACTGCTCCAGGAGCTCCTGCAGGTTGCTGTCCCTCGACGACTGCTTTTTCTGAATGTGAGGGGTGTCTGTCTTGCTGTAGACACTCTTGCTGTCTTCATTGGCTTCCCCTCCTTTGTTCGCGCCCTGGGGAAGCAACGTCGGGGTTTTCGGCGTCTTCAGAGAGAAACTCGGACTTCTCGGGGGCTTGAAGACAATACTTGAGGTTTTTCGGGACAGGCCAATGTGCATTGGGGTGCTAGTGTGTCTTGTGAACTCTGGGGGGGACGTCAGGCTCTCGAAGTTGGCGTTGTAGTCTCCCTCGATCGAATATCCTTTGCTCTGGTTCACGGGGTTCAGGGGCGTTTGGGTCAGTGGGGATGGCCCGTGGGCCACTACTGAGTGTCCTTCGTTGACAGTATCCTTTCGCTTTGAGAGACGACGTGAGCACGTCCCCAGACTTTTCAGGTCAGCACTGCACTCGAATAAATCCCCACAGGTGCGACACTGCAGGGGCAGGTGATTGATCACGACGTGGCACATAAAGTGAGAGTTATCGAAGTTGCGGACGATGAGGAGCTCGGAGCGACAGAGGGGACACTCGGACTCACGGCCTGGGTGTTTGCTCCTTATGTGGTTTGTGCAGCAATCCACGCAGCAGAAGAGCTTCTTGCAGGCGTAACAACGATTCGACTGGAATTCAGGGAGTTTTTGGTGAAAATGGGGCTCGCTCGGGTTTGGAGGGTTTTTTTGAAGGAATGATACCTGCTGAATGGGTTTATACCTCGAACTCAGCCATCTTCGGTAAACACGCTTGCTCCTGGTTTAGCGCTCGATCTACTGAGGCTTATTTCTGTTTATTATTCACGACTTGCCATTTTATCCCCACTCTGGCAATGTTTTGGGTCGAGCGTCCTCTCTTTTCGGTGTTCTGAATATTTGGGGATTGAAGTTTTAGTCTCTTTTTTAATTTAATTTTTAAGTGGGTTTTCAGCAGACAATTTTGAAAGACTACGATTTAGCGTGGTGAATAAGTAATGACGTTGGAGTCACTTCAAATCACATCAACAAACTCTCGAAATATTTTTATTGTGGTCCTTGGGGAAACGTGTGACAGGGGGGGGCGTGATTTATTTTCATTCGCCTTTGAAGCGGTTTGTAATCCAGTTGAAACTCATTTTTACCCCCATTCTGGTAATATTTTGGTTGGGTGACCTCTGGGAACGAATTTATAGTTTCACCTGAGAATAATCTGATTTTCGTTTGATTTCTGGTATTATTTCTTGTTGTTCTGAGCGTTTGTGAATTTGAGTGTTAGTTTTTTTGGGATCGAATTCACTGTTACAAATTTTGAGGAAAATTCCCAGTTCACTCGGCAATTTTTATCAAATGACTGTTTCATTCAAATTTCAAGGAATTTGTTTATTCAATTATTCCATGAAAATTAATAGAAATCAGGAATATACAGATGAATTTATTTTTGAATTGTCAGTTTACTGAACATTTAGCGTAATTTCGTACTCAATATTCATGTTTTGCTGCTGATTAAAAAATTCGAATAAATTGGATTTTACGTGAAATTTGATTTTATGATGTTTTCGCCCCTCAACCGAATTCAATGTTCATGAGTTTTCAATTTTTTCCAACAATTTCGGAATAGTAAAAATGTTGTTGCAACCATAGAATGATTTGCATCTTTATTACTCTGTAACATCTAAATGAACAAACGCATCGCAAAATTCTCTAACATCACTCGTACATTCGGTCGATGAAGATTTTTCATCTTGTGTGCGCGAATTTTTACATGACTCTTTGATATCTTTGATGGATCGTGGTTCATCGTGATGAATAACGACACTGGAGTTTACCTTTCGAAGGTTATCTCTAGCTGCGAGTTTCATTGCCTCTTCGTAAGGGGATTTCAGGGGTCCTTGGACGGGCTCACGGTGGTGGTAGGTATTCCCATCGAGCTGATGAAAATTAAGTAAATAGATAGGAAATGAGTTGAAGGCTCTGATATGATTGGGAAAATTAATTAGATAAAGTGCATCGCGCATTCAGAAGGTAAATAGACTTAATGGGGACAGTCTGACGCGTCATGATTAACATTGGAGATTACATTAGTGGGTCAAATATTAAGGAGAAAAACACAATATGTAGTATTAATTAAGCTGAGGCGGTTTGTCCATCAGCCTCCGTCTCTCCATAACAACCCACGTTATTTGAATAATTTTCTAAATATTTTTTAGTATGAAATCATGAAACTTATGCAATCGCTATTTCTCGGAAATATAGCTATATCATTTAAACACATTTGATATCAGATCATTAGATTAGTATTCACTGGGTACTCAAGATTTTTCTTCAGTGATTAGAACCAGTAATTTATTCATCTTAATTTTTTCATTTTTAGAGTCTTCTAGTGAGTAAATTATAGATTAAAAAAAAATCTCATGAGTACTGTTCTTAACTGCTAGAACAATTAGTTGGAAATGTTTTCTCATCAGCCCAAAAAACCAGAGAATCTTTCGCACATGAAAATATTTGGTTCTCCGAAAGTAACAAGCCCTCTTAATGCTAATGATAAACAATTAATTGAACTTACGTTTAGAGGATAACAAGCATCGGAGTCTGGTTGTGTCAGGTCGCCGCAGACGACGAATGGTACAACATATCTATTTATTCCCGTCAATTGATCGAAGTTTAAAGGTTCATGGGTCAGAAGAGGATTCAGCATGTGTGGTTTATAGCCGGCTGGTGGTGAATAATTTTTGCAGACAACGAATGCTTCTATGCTTGAATTTCTCGAGCTACTGGGTTTTGCACAGAATACATCGGTGAAGAATATTTTCAATTGCGAGTAGAGCAACGATCCCTCTCTGGCTCGAAATATTTTCGCCACGAATGTTCCTCCTGGGCTCAGGATGTGAGTCGTTATATTCAGTGCTGCTAACAGCAACTGGGATTGAATGTAGATGTCCATGTCGTGCAATCCAGTGACTGTAATTACTCGTGTTAATTAGTTTATCCATTGATTATGGAATGAGTGAGAGGAAAAATGGGATCTTACCGTCTGGTGCACCGTCACACACGACCAAATCAGCTTTTGTGTTACCAAAGTGCCTGATTATTTCCTCCGCAGTCGAGGTTTTTGTTATGTCTCCTTGGATCTGTATCACTCCTTCCAGAGGGGCCATTGCTTGGAGATCCACTGCTATGATTTTTGGACGATCTGATTCGAGGGGTTCGGGTTTTTCTGGGGTTTCTTGCTTCTCGAGGGCTAGTCTGTAATTTTCACTGCAGCAGACGCACAGTAGAATGTGAATGAATGTGCCAGTGTTGAATTTTATGATGAAAAATTATTAGTAACCATAATGAATTGACATTTACTTCAATTTTCGTGACAACACTTGGCTCCAACTCCCTGGAGCTGCACACAAATCCACAGCTTTGGTAACTCCTGTGCGAACAAAATTTCGTTAGATTAAGGATGTACACTGGTGGAGAATTTTGGCTGGCATTTCTGGTACACTTCTTGAAAAGTTTTTTCACATTCTAGTGCCAATGAAATTCCGAGGAATTTCGTCATTGAAAATGGCAAATTTTGGGCAAAGATTAAGGGAAATATAGTCTTGACTTTTCATTCAGGGAAATTCAACGTAATTTGATAGTAAATGTTCGTGTTTTGATCGATAATTCAAGTGAATTAGGAACTTCTCATCTTCCTGCTGCTCAAAAATTCGGAATTTCCTTGAATTTTCAGTAAAATCTGAAATTCCACGATTTATTGGAAGAGATCACAATTTACTTGAATTTTCTAACAAAATATCAATATTCAATACCAAAGTGTGCTAAATTTTCCCGACTTCTATTAATTCCTACAAAATAATAGAACTAAAATATTCATTTTCCATTAATTTTCTCATGGAATTGTGAATTTTTAATGAAGAAATTCCTTGAAATTTAAGTGGAACTGTCACTTGCCACAATTTTCTCATAAATTTACAGAAAATCTCATCGAAATATTCAAAACAGTGTACAATGAACATCGAAAACTCCACTATAATTCACACAAATCTACTGATTATTCTAAAATATTGAACACAATATTATAATGCAATAGGGTTTGTGTACATACCCTTCAAGATTTCGAATTCACTATCAATTTGGAGCAGCTTGAATGCACTCCTAGCTCTCCATCCCTCCTCCTTCGCTTTTCGATAATAAATATCCCTCTTATCTTTCGACGTTTTTCCCATTTTTTAAAGTCACTACTTCACTTAAATTAACAAATGACTCCAAAAATACTGGCAGGTACTCTACTCCTCTCTCTTTGAGGTTAATTTCAAAATACAGAATACACACACCCCCACACACAAGAATATTACTTCCCTTCACTCGATGAAAAACTGATAAAATACAGATTTCACAATTCAAAATTGTTACAATTCTGAAACAAATTTATTCACAAGCAGTTGAATAGTGCAAGACACAATGTATTGACGTCACATGAACTTGAACTGCACGTGCGTACGTTTCTCGTGGCGCCACCTAGCAAATTCGTTTTGAAAATGTGGCGAGTTTTGCTGTAATTGTTACGACAAAATGTCAAAGGATTCACCTTGCGAATCCTTCGTAAATTATTCACTACTTCTCTAACATAAACAATATCGTTCACTAATCGTCGAAATATAACTCGTGCTTCGGATATCCGCGGGTTCCCAGGGCGAAGTGTGAAGTGTACAAGCGCCGATAAGAAAACCAAATGACTATTTTTTCCTGTTGACTATGGAAACACGATAATTGCGTGAATTGAACAATTGGAATGTGTTTTTCCGGTTCTTTATTTTTCTCTCGTCCATCGTGCAATTGGTGATTGATTAATAGAGCTGCGGGAAAACCTGGTGAAGCCAGAGAGCCTCGATGTTTATAATTTCCGAAGAAACAGTCGGCGAAGAGACTTATACCCAGTGTATCGCGATAAGGACCGCCAGTGTCTCCATTGCGGCTGATACGACTGGTTGTGTTGAGTGGTTTCCTGAAGCACCGTTGAGTTTTCGAGAAACATTCATGCATTATTAAATACTTCAATTGAATCGAGAGTAATTGATGTGAAGAGGAAACACTGCTGCAGGATGGATGTTAAAAGAGGTATTTCCACGTACTCAGCATTTTTCTTATCTTCTTTTTGCACTCATCCATCTGCTGCATAGAATTACGGAGTAATTGAATTACGGCGGAGAAATTATCGTGAATGAATTTTGAGGCATATCCAGGCTCGGGCGATTCACGTTTCTGAAGAATTTCTCACGTTCTATTTGCATTCATCGGTTATTATCCTAATAACTCTTATTACGTTGAACATTTTTGTTTTGTCTCACATATTTGAGGCATCAGACTCATCAATGGTACTGTTACGATTATTTATGGCCCTTCGGGTGTACAATTCCTTCTAATCGCATTTGAAAAGCCGCACGTGGTGAAACGTGAAAATGACGTTCCGAGGAAGCGCTTCAGTGACTCCTGAAGCTTCCCAAGGACGATAAAATTTTCTTTCCTTCCCTGCCTGAAGCACTCGAAATTGTGATGATTATTGGCCAATCAATCTGATTGTTAGGGACGCGCAATCATTTCTCTGGAAACGGTTGAGTGGAAACAGATGTTCCTCGCTTCTGTCTTCTCCGTTCACAGTTTAGTGTCGTGGTCATTTCATTTTATTGCTTACGATCTTTATTTTTAGTTTTATGTTCTTGTGTGGAGGGAAAAGTGGGAGGAAATTTAGTAAACAAATTAAGTAATCGGGGTGCGGAATTGATTTCCAGGTCTTTTTCACCTGAGGTGAGGGTAATTTCTTCTGAAACTGTAACAGTTATGCGGAATTCTATAAAAATTACGACAGTGAATGTGAATAATTCAACTCAATTACTCAATTTGTAAGGATTTTGCTGTAATGATGAAGGATTTTTTTAAGAAATGCCCTTCGCATCGGTGTCAGAAGAAAATATCATACCGGTGCCGGATATTTTACTGAGTAGGGAACTGTAATTTTTGCATTCGTAGAAGTAATTTTTTTAGCGAACGAATCATAAGTTATTTTTCGCAGGCAACCGTTCATCCATTTGGTGGCATATTTCAATTCAAAATTTTTTTCAATTTTTAATATGTTTTAATTGCTCATTGGCTATGGCTCTGTGGAAAATTTCAGTCCTCCAACTCGATTATTGCTTGGAAACTATTCGACTTCGTTCTTTGCGCATTCAATATTTCAATCTTTTTTACACGTATACATATGCTTCGTATAAAACAATGTTTAATATATTTTGTTTCTCAAAAATTCTAACTTGGAAAAATAAAGCTTTGAAATAAAATGGCTCATTTTACGAGGTTCCCAAACGGTTTCGCATTTTTTTCGGAAAGCTGAGACTTTTTTTTATAACTACATTTTTTACAAAACTACTGAGCGGAAAAAAATAATTCAACATATACAGATATCACATTGAACTATTAGATTTCACTCCACAATTACCTTTCGTATAATAAAATTTCCGAGATTTTCTGGACAATTTTTTGTCGATATTTTTCGTTGTGCATATGTCAATGCTTTATTTCCCCGGAAGGTTCTTCAACGCTCGTGCGATGGTCAATATTATTCTGCCTGTGATGCTTCATAACGATAAAATCCAGTATTTCGACAAAGTAAAAGCTACTACTGTTGCGTCTAAGGCATGGAAGATTTCGATTCCGCGAAATTAGATCAAAAGATGGATTTTATTTTTAGATTTTGAAAGAAAGATTGCGGTGGTCTATCCGAAGCTATTTATATAACTAATATTTGCGGTTGGAGAATTCTTTCCCATGCGCATTTTGCTTTCATGAGGCTCCGCAACCTCGGCCTTAGATTTCGCACGGGAAATCAAGTGGCACGTGAGGACGATTCGAGGATCGTAGTTACGTTTGGAACACGATTCATGGGGAAGGCCAGCTGACTGTTCTCAATGTCAATGTATTCGGTAAAGTCAGACTTCCAAGGTCTTGCATTTTATTTTTGTCGCACAGGAGGAGAAATTCCTTTTAAAAATCACTTCTTAATTCTAACAGAAAAAACAATATTTTAGGTAAAAAATTCCCAAAAAAAATTGAATATGAACTCAGAATATTGCACCTATTCACTGGAATTCTAGTAAAAAATTCCGAAAGTGCAATGCGCTGTCAATTACTATACTGTTATAAATTTTAAAAAATTGTTCAAATTGTTCATAGAATCGTTTATTCGCCTTGAAAAATCAACAAAATTGTATTTTTAATCTTGAAAAGTAATTGATATTTCAATGGCTGCGAGAATTTTCAAAGTCATTGCGAAAATTAAACATGCCACTCAAATAAATTTCCAATGGGTTGAAAATTATGAGGAACAATTGCCTGAAATTTCAAAATTTTTAATAATTTCCACTGTGGACCTAAAAATTTTGATTTCATTGAATATTCTGAAATGTCAAAAAAATATAATTGCAACAAAATATAATAAATTATATGTAAATGAATTTTTCGTTAAAAATTCCACGATTTTTTACTTAAAATTTTAAAGGGAATTTTGAAAAGAAAGTTTTCTGCGAGCATAAAACTGCATTTGGGCAGATGCTCCATACGGAAAGTTACATAAACGACGAATGTACGGAGCCTTCCATGCCAGATTTTATTACACCACCATTTTTCGTCTGTTCCTGAGATAATGGCTGCGGCACTTTAAATATTCAAAAATTTATAACTTCTGAATGGCGCATCCACTTGAAACGAACAAAAAAATAAATTCTCCGTTTCCCTCCGCTCTTTAACATAAAAAATACTCCTCATATATCCCGAATATTAATAAGGTCATATTCATGTCATTGTTAAACATATTACACATATATTTGCGCATACATATTTTTCTCGTGAGGGGTTCCTTATCAAACTGAAATATTCCTAAGATATCCGCATTTACTCCCGCTTATTAATTTGATTAATTGTATTTGCGATAAAAATAGATTAGATCGTATTCTCTCAGTTGCATGATAAGGCGATGAATTAACTGTGCAGGACTGAGATAGCCAACTAATCAATATGATGTATGGAAAGACGAAATTGCTCCGGGTATATTGAATACATACAATGTTTCGTGTGAACAGTTGTTCGGTATAAATTTCCCGTTCGCTATCTCGAAATTCGACGAGTGTTATTGAAACGAGTTCTAAAACCTGATATTATTGAACTTCCCATCTTCTGTGTTTTATACGTGTTATCTATTGAAACAGCTTCAAAGTAAATGTTTTGAAATCAGTTTATTCATTGAAACGACCTCGCTCATTTGCTAATCAATATTTTCGCGAATTGAATTGAATTTTGCTAGTGCGCAGAAAATGAGATGAGTGGATTCGTATAGTGGAACTTCGTCAATTGAACCCTTCGGGACAGATCAATCGTATTCAATTGAGAGTTTCACGTGATCTCATTTTATTCTCGTGGCTAGGCAATTCTGGCGCTGCAATTCTCCAAAGTGTTGTGCGCATAAAAATAGGCTTTCCAGTTCGATGAATGCCAGACGGTAAAAATACGACGATATAGAGCGAGTGAAAATAATACCGGCGAGGACGAGGTCATTATCATACACAAATATGAAGATATTATCCTCACTGGTTTTCCACTCTGCCGATACGAGGTGAATGATAATAAATGCAGCCGTGACACGTGATATCAGTCATCATCAGTCAAACATTATGAAATTCGATAAATCTCGGTCGAGATTCCATTGACCCTGTTGCGTATGGTCATGAACTTATAGTAAAAGAATGTCGAGGATTTCATGCGGAAATGAATGACTTCGGCATTCGAGAACAGCCACCGAGGCCATTTTTAAACATGAGGCAGTTTTCCTCGTCAAATTGGTTGAACGCCGTCTTTTCAATATGAATTGACTACCGGATATAACTGCGTTTACGCAATATTAGATGAAGAAATTAGAGTTTGTCATTTATAAACAAGAGAAACGTGTTGTCGGGGGAGAATTTTTTTCGGACGTTGAATTATCGTCGGTTGATGCAGTATACTGTTGGAAAAAATCTAAATTTCATGGATAGTTGACTAGTTGACGTCAAACTCGATTTAAGGGAGAAAAGTCTTAAAATTCCAAATTGTTGAGCAGTAGCAAAACGAAAAATCCCCTATTTAATTGATTTTTCCATCAAAATGCGAATATTCAGTATCGAATTGCGTTGAAATCGCAATTAATTGAGAATTGAAGACTAATGTTGACCTGAAATTTACAGTTTACGTCGAGTTTTCCGCGAAATTTTGGATTTTCAATGGCGAAATCCTCTGAAATTCGAGTGAAACTATGACACAATAAAAACTTTCAATAATTTTCGAAAACCTTTAGTCTTGAACTGGAAATTTCAGTCAAAAATTTTTAGCATTGTTTTTAGCAATTAATTCTTCATTTTCAGACAGAAGAATAGTTCGAAGAAAAGTACCACAGAAATAACGTAAAAATTACGTTGTGAGACGTAATCGTAATGCATAAATAAATGTCACGTAAGAATTATCTATAAAATTTTCAGGACTTGAAGTAAAAAATGTACAAACGAGCATTCCACCTCAGAATGCCGTTTTGTAACGTTATTTTTCCTGAAGTTTTGTCTCCGTGTAATCAATAGAAATTACGTAATACCTTTCGATAAAGGGGCGCAATATTCAGTAATATGAGTCAGAGTTGTTCATTATTTCATGTAGCCATTCATCAATACGCGTATCGGAATACGTCCAAAGTATTACCTCAATTCTAATCGATTGGACGTTTATCGGTGACAGCTTCACACTCGAATGAGAATGAATTCAATGACGTCGAGTCGAATTCAAGTACAACGAGGTGGAGGAATCTTCTTGCTTTCTGGATTCTAGGACTCTGCAATAACTATGGATATGTAGTGGTACTCACCGCGGCACACGATATTCTGGCCTCAAGATTCGGGACAAATGTACGTTCAATAAAAAATAATCAGATTTTTATGAAAAACAATCAGATCATTCTGAAACTTTATGATCGAACGATTATGCATTGGATTTCCAGGATCATGATAAAACTAATAGCTCGATAACAAATGCAACCACAGACTCCCGGGGATGCAATGCAGTATCAACAGGAGCTATTCTGCTGGCGGACATAGTTCCCTGTCTCCTAGTAAAATTAATGGTACCATTCCTACCGTTTTTCGTGCAGTAAGTATTGAATCACAATTGCGATGATTTCTATTATCTGCAGATGTAGAGAATCGGTCGCACCATGAACAAATCTTGGGGGTTCATGAGCCCAAGTCCCTCGATGTCTCATCACGGCATGGCCGTCTTATTCGACAATTACAGTGTCCGCCTGACGACTTGTGTCCTGTGTTCAATAGCTGGATTTCTCGCTGTTTCTCTTGGTGAAACACAGTGGATCACTATTTTTGGGGTCGTCTTGACGTCTGTTTCCTCGGGTCTTGGGGAGGTCTCGATTGTTAGTTACAGTCACAAGTTTGGAAAGTAATGAATTTTTACTTTTTTTTGTTGCCATTAAATTGCCGACTGCACAAAGAGAATTTTTTATAAAAATTTACTCTTCAATTCTAATAATATTGTTGCTTACTGGCCCTGCAGGACTTTCTTTCCGAAACTAGTAAATAATGCTATATGTTTAATAGAAATGAGGATATTTTATATAAATATTCAGTAGAAATATTGTAATTTGATAAAATCCACTGTGAGAAAGAAGAATTTCTAGGATTAGGTCCATTCTTGTCACAGTCGTTTCCTCGATTGGATGCCGAAAAGGCTTACAACTTGGACCAGTCTCATGAGAAGAATGGATAATTAAAAATCTGGTTGACTGAATAAATTTCCACAGTTTTAATCGTTGATTGTGACAAACTCAAGCGAATTATGTGGAAAATTATCCATTTTAGTCGAAAAAATGGTTCGATTCGGCTCAATCTAGAAAGTTTGTGAGACGAATTTTTTTCTGCTGAAAAATCTTTTTTTCTCTCAGTGTGGTACATGCTTTTTCTCTGTAGTAAAAATTCCAATATTTGAACTCACAATTTTTTCATTTTCGCATAAAATGTTCATATAACATGAAAAAAAGGACAGAAATAAATAGAATGTATTTTTGTAAACTTTATGCACAGAAATTCCTGGAAGACCAATACGCAGCACGATTACGCAAATTTAGGAATAACTTGTTATAAAAAATTTTATTCCTGTCCATTTCTTCATTTTTAATTCTTATTTCTTAGAGAAAGTATAGCATCTTGGTCATCTGGTACTGGTGGAGCTGGAATCATAGGTGCTTTCTCTTACGCTGGATTAACCATGATCATGTCTTCAGAAACTGCGTTACTAGCAATGCTCATTATTCCCGTGATTCAAGCCATAGCCTTTTGGCTCCTCATGGTGCATCCAGCGGAGCAACCAATCGTCAAATATGGCATTGACAGTCAAGAGGAGATCGTGAAAATGCCCAAGAAGACTATCCCGGAAAAGTTTCAACTCCTGCCGAAACTACTAGTGTACCTGCTACCCCTAGGTCTCGTCTATTTCTTCGAGTATTTCATTAATATGGGTTTGGTGAGTTTCCTCCCCAAATAATCATTCGGCCACGAACATTGATTGTAAATTCTTGTCGTCTGCTGCAGTATGAACTCATTCAATTTGATGGAATTTGGTTGAATCACTCCGAGCAGTACAGGTGGCTGCAGGTGGATTATCAAATTGGGGTTTTCATTTCGAGATCTTCAGCTACTTTTATTACGTTCAAAAAAGTTTGGGTGATGGCAATTCTTCAGGTAATATGAGCGTCGTTATCGATTGAAAGGGGAATAGTGTGTACAGTGGTACTGATAATACTTGTAATTTTTTTAAGGGTTTGAATGTGATCTTATTCTCTACCGAAGCAATCTTCTTTTACATTCCGAATATTTGGATAGTTTTCGTAGTGACCTTCTGGGAGGGACTTCTAGGTGGGGGAGCCTATGTTAATACCTTCTACAGTATGCTCCAGACGGTAATTATAGTCTTCATACGCATTTAATGATATTCAAGCACTTTCTCATGTTTTTAATAATTTGATCATTTTGATTTTAAGGCTTAAATTTCTCATTTTCACTTATTAGGAAGCATTCTGTAAATGAAGAAATGGGAAAGTCTATGTTTTGAAGAAAATTCATAAAATGATTGAAAAATCTTCATTTCTTACGCAAATTATCTTCCGTAAAAAGGCGTTTTCACTGAATTACAATCTCGCTTCACTATTATCTTTCTTATAGTAAAATTTTCCGCAAAACGGAACATCTAAAAAAAAGTTTTTCTTCGCAAAATGTAATTTTTGTTCAATTTTCCTCATTTAACTGAACAACTTTGATGATTAAAAATTTCTAAAAGATCAATTCTCACGATAAAATAATGAAGTTATCACGAATGATTGGCTCCGTCATAGATACCTGCTGAGGACCTGAAAGATTCATTAGGAATAGTCACCATGGCCGACTCACTCGGAATAACATTAGCAGGATGGACAGCAATGGAGGCTCATGCAGCCATCTGCAAGCTGCCACGACCCATCCGGTGATGTTCATCACTACGAATCGTCGATTTCGTATTTCGACTGATGACCTGAAGTCCTAGAGAATCGTATTACGCTTAAAAAACCTCATCCTCCATGTGTGGAGGATTTTTTTGAGTATTAAAAATATTTTATTAAGGATAATTGATGTTACACGCGTGAGGATGAATGGTTTCAGAAAGTGGATGCCTTAGCTGCAAAGTTATGCCTATTTTTGATAGTCACGCTCGGCGATTCCTATAGGAAGCAACGGGATGACATATTCCAGGTGTAATTTTCTTCAATTTCATGTACACTAAGAACAGATTGTGACGATAATTTTGTCATTCGGTCAATGACTGCTTGTGTTATCATGGCTAGATAAGTTTTTGTCAGCGCCGTTTATTATGGTTATACAAATAATAAATATGTTCGTACATGACCACCTGTTCTATTCTCTTTCTAGAAAGAAATACACATCTTTACCTTTCGCCACTCACGCGAGGAAGACGTCCCAATGTCTTTTCAATCATTTTTTATTTCACCAAAACGGAAATTTCCTCGTAGGGGAGAGTGGGGCTAAATGGAACCGCCAAAAAGAAAATTTTTTTTTGTCTACTTTTTCTTCATTAACTTTCTTTATTATTGGGAGTACTGATGAGAATAATAATTTTCCATTCGTCTTATAGTTCAATTGATTAGATTAGGCTGATTATACTTTTCTTTTTTCATTCGACTGAAATTCAGCATCACATTTTCCGTTTTCCCCCTCTGGGTCTCCCCTGGACCTTGCTCTAGACTTTGGATTTTGCTGTTTCATTTCTTTTTTAATTAATCCATTGACAAAATCTCCTCCCGTCAAGACTTCTCAATAATCTTCCATTCTACTGAAATGGAAATCTATTATTTTCATCAGTATTCCTAAGAATAAAAAAAAGTTGATAAACAAAAGTTATTAAAACAAAATGAACAGAAAAAAATTTTTTTGCTTGAATTGCGTCAAACCGTCGTTTTTCGAGTGTTTCATTTTGCCCCACTCTCCCCTAAATATTAGTCGCTGAACCTTCACCCGTTCAGTTAAACTACCGTAAATTTGATTTTCGTAACGGCTTTGTTCCGTGTTTTTACGTAACAAAGTCACTTTATTGTTTCTTGTCACTTTATTTTTTCTGCACTTTTTCTCCGTGTAGGGAATGAATGCTCAGACATTCTAGAATATTCTAAAATATTCATCATCATCAATCAATATTAAGGTACATCAATCATAAAAAGTTCTCGTAAGCTTTGGCAGTGATCGAGGAGTTTTTAGAAATTTCTTGTGCTCCAGAATCTGTTAGGATAGGCTAGAAAAAATTATTAAAACTTGGAAAATTGGGGAGCTTTCGAAATGATTGCCAAAATTCTCAGATGTATTGTTACAGGTCTGCATTTATCCTCAATTTCCGAAAACTTTCCACGATTTTTGGGAACAATGAGGATGAGGATTTTTCAGACGATTCTCGAATTTTCCAGACGATTCTGTACCGATCTAGAATCATAGAATGTTCTACAACTTTCTATAAAATTCTATGATTTTCGGAATAAATGAACATTTCAAATTGTGTAGAGTATGATTTATTTGCTCTTCGTTGTAAAAAGGCAGGTTTCAAATTATGCTTTCGATCTTGAAATTCTGACATTTCGCTCTCAATTCAAGTACTGTCTTCTATTACTACTGTTGAAGCTCTTATTTTCTATGACGAAAACGACTCCAAAGAAAGTATCCAAAATCCCATGAGTACTGAAGGATTAATCAAGACATCACCATCATCTTAATTTCAACATTATTACGTTCACGCACACAGAAAAACCTATACATTAGATATGGAAATGGATTTGAGCGTGTGTGACAATCGGAGATTGCGCGTTAGCTAAATGATTGCCACGAATGATCAGTCACACTTGAGCGATACAGTATTATTTTCTTTTCTGTATAAAAATAGGAAGACGAAGAAAATTGATACAGCTTGCGAGCTAAATCACTTGAAATACGTAATCAAAGTATTCTTAATGAGCACCCGTGATTATTTTGGCACTATCCATAAAATTACCCTCGACTCTAATTCACAATTCATCGTGATAAACCGTGTCATCAAGATAAGCATTGAAAAACAACGCGATTGTTCTCAATAACTGAACTCAGGCGCATTTATCCAGTATTCGCTTGCCAGATTCTTCATACTCTTGTCGCGACAGCCACATTTGTTGGAATGTTCCTAAGGAACTGAGTATAGAACCCCCGATCCATGCACCAAACCGTCGTTCGCTTGAGCTATTGGCACTCATTATCTTCAGTCGCATACTCTGCAACAATAAAGGGGATTGAAAGACTCGTTGTGCAAACACTCCCGATATTAGACATCTGTTTTTATTACCGGTGGAGTTTTGCTGGATAGATCTCGGTTGAGACGATCACTGAAGCCTTGTAAACAAGAATTGCCACCCGTGACAACTACACTACCGTAGAGACTCTGGAAGTAGGTCGTGAAGCAAATTTTTATTGCGAGTAATAAGGAAAATGCACTGTCAGACATTTTGCAGAGTTTTAATGAGTGCATGTGAAATTTTAATGCTGTGAATTTCAATTCAATTTGAGAGAATTGATCTTGGAAATTGAGAAGATTTTATTGATTCGTATTGCCTCCATCTTTTAATGTGTTGGGGGTAGGTGGGGCAGAATTGGAGATTTGTTATTAGCTAGAAATCTCTATTTTCTGTTTATAAATGAAGATATCGAGAATTGAAGCGCATTGCAATTTTCTTTTGACAGGATTAAAAGGCTGTTGAGTCTTCAATGAACGAATAACGAGATGTAGGAAAAGATTGAGTTTTTAGAAATACATCCGTAATTTTTAGGGGTCTAGACAATAATTAGAATTCCGTTAAACTTCAGCGAGTCAATCACTGGAATTTGGGGAGAAAGTGGCTACGATTTAGGATGAGGTCATCAAAACTAGTGTCAAAAACACTTGATTTCGTGATTTACAACTCGTCAAATGTTAGAATGCTGAAGCATTCGAACATTTGACGCGCTTGCAAATCCTCGAAAAAAATTCTTTTCTTTGTAAATAACAAGATCAAATCGTTGCAATTCAACAAACGATCATTAATATTTGAATTTTCAATAGATTGAGAATTCACAACAATAGTTGCCTGAATTTTCACAATTTTCAATCATTTCCACTGTTGTACGTAAAATCCACGACCACCCTGCCAAATTTATTAGTTTCTTCGTAAAATGAATTAACGAAAAGAATTTTTAAAAAACGGCAAATGCTTGAATTCCCCCTAATAACACCACGTATGGAAATGCCATTAAAATTTCTTCAAAATCTCAGGATGCTCTATTTGAAATGCCGAGAGTAATTTTCCAATAGTGTAGAAAGCAAAAAACTCACAGGTCTTATATCCATATCGCACATTCCAACACTGGTAGTGACGAGAGGGCCAATTCCAAGAATGCTCGCTCCAACCCCTTTCACATTACTCGGATCGAAGAGAGCTTCTGGTATCATAAGCCTCACCGATCCATAATCATCATTGTACCCAGTAGGGAATTCGAAATGCTTCATTGGGAGGGCATTCGCGACGTCTTCGTCGTACGGAGAATCTGCGACTTGAAGGCAATTCATCTGGAAATCCTGCAGCAATTCTCGAACCATGTAACTGAGCCAGGTGGATGTGGGTGGAGGGCCTGGTTTTTTAGTCCATCGAGGGTTATCCCTCTCCCTAACTATATCTAAAAGTATTAATTCACTGTGAAAAAATATCTCGAAGGGAAGAGAGTCATGTACCTTTACTGCCTACCAAGCAGGCAGGCACCAGTTCGATATTTTTCTCCTCGAAAAATTGTCTGCACTGCATGGTAATGAAGTCGCCGCCTAATGGACTTTTTACGATTCCTTGAGTGATGACATATCCATCGTGAACAGGCACTGCACTTGTGTGGGTGGCACCGCTGTCAACGACCATCGCGGTTGATCGCCCATTAGCGTAAGCCGCTAGCACAGCATTTTTGCAGATATACATGGCAGGAACGTTGAACTTCTCGAACATCAGCTCGAGCAGTTTTTCGCGCTTCACTCGCGTGTTCCAAGGACACTCGGTCATTAGGATCGGGTGGTGCTCGGACAGAGCGTGGAGACGCTGTTTGTAGGTGTATTCCGCTAGGCGTTCGAACATGTCCCAGTCGTCTATCATACCGTCCTTCATCATACTGACTATCTCCATGTCTGAGAGAATTCGTCAATGGTTTTGTTATTTACTCGGGGGAGTTATTTCTAATTTTGAAACATGATGGAGGCATGTTTCATTATATTTCCGGAGATTTTCGCGTGGTATTATGACTTTGTGATTTCGCCTCATCTAATCTTTCTCTCAAATACATGAATACGAATAATTAAAGAAACTTTACTGAATCAAGTGAATGGGTTTGAGGTAATAAATGGATAATAGCTCGTAATAAAGCTGTGATTCAAACTTGAATTTGATTTTTATTCTTTACATTCGCATTAAATAGCTCATTGAAATGTGAAGAAATGTTTCCTTAATCCAAATAAAGACCTAATCAGCCAGAAATGAAATCGCTGTTTGCAATAATATTTTATTTGGATCAACTCAATTGTTTATTGGATACGTTTTCATTGAAGTCAATATATGACATGAAAAAAAAATTCGAATACAGAGTTCTATTTGCTTCAAAAGCGTCATTTTTCTAAATGTAAAAACAGTTTTCTCACTTGATGATTGCAATACTATGGGAGGTGAGAGCCAAACACAATATTTATTTGACATTTACAAACTAATTAAAAAGCTGACGATGTTAATGTCTCGAAGATGTTGATAATATTTCGTCATTCCCATTCTCTTTTTTGTGCGAGAAAAATCCCTTCCCATTTCAATTAAAAATTATTTTAAAAAAACTCTGAAAATAATCCGCCCTTAAACAATTGAAATCGTCTATCCAAAATTTACCTTTCCGTCGCACTTGTATCGCAGTAACATCGATATTGTATCGTTTTCTGGGAGTGTGTACCCCGTTAGTAGATTCGGCCGGGTCCTCCCACACCCCCAGACTAGTGGGAATTTCGGCTTTTGGGCTGTCCTCACCTCCATAACCGACCCGCAGACTCTGATGCCCAATGTCAAATATAATGGCGCCAACCTCATCTACCCAACACGTGGATTAACCACAGATATACATTTGTTGATGATTATTTGTGTACAAAATATTGTAGATGTCTTACCACCACCGTAGACACCACCGCTCATAGTGTATCTGACCGACGCCGAATGAGCATTGAAATTTTCGCATGCGCATTCATCCCCTTTTTCGCGAACGGACTTGCGTGGTGAGAATAGGGTGGTGGCCCAATATTACCTCATCCAGCTCGTCAAGAGTAGCTGGAGTTTCTATTCAACTCTCAAATGTGATTTATGCTAATCAATGGGGCGGGAGGGGAGAGTAATTTTCATGAAATTCGTGTGGCCATTGTTCAATCAATATTGTATATTTTACAAAGTAAATATAGAATGTAAATAATCTACAGTTCACCTAAAACACAAAAGTGTTAATTTTTTTTGTCCTCCGTGGTAAATAATTCATATATAATAATAAAGTATATATAATATATATAATATATCAACAGGAAAAACCATCGGTTTGCGTACTTTTGTTCCGAGACATGGAAAAATTTGTTTTACGATTAAAAAGTTAGTGTTGCACGTGTGTCGAGCAGAACAACATTGCTCAGTTTTTTTTTTCATTTAACTTACAGATAAATTTTTTTATCTTTTACATTCTAACACCTTCTTTAAATTTTCTCATTCGATTCATTCATTCGTTAATTTTAACGGCGCTTGAGTTTAACAGTAGTTACATCGACACATCGGTATGTTTGGGACACATTGTCATTTTCCATTTATTTTTATTATTACGATGATTTTCATTTCCAAGGAGGGATGGATAGAGAGGGGTTATCTGCGTTCTTCGCGTCTTCGTCTCTTTCTCTTTAGTCGTTTGTGTTTTAAAGTTAATATATCACGGGCTTTGTTTATTTTTCTTTGGTGGGACGTGGCGGAGGGGGGGGGCTTGGGGGAATTTTGCACAGTTATTTACACCGCTATAACAAAGTCACGTAAATGCCGTTGACCGTGATTGCCTCGGTCAATGTCACACTCAGCTTCGCTTAACTCAAGCGCGTCGGAGAAGCCCGAGGGTGGATCCAACTTGGGGACGAACAGGTTTCCTGATCCTGCATCCCCCTGCTCTCTACTGATAGTGCCCGACTGGTGCTTGGAATTGCCAGGCCTGGGGATTGTCCCGAAACTTGTACGGGTCTCCTCGCTGGTATAACGCGCCAACTGTAGCATCCTGTGTTTAATCCTGGATTAATCAGCATTTAGGTGTGTCAAAACGACTTGATATCACAATGGAATTTCATGTTCCAGGAGTTTCGATTCTAGTTGCACGAAGTGGGGATAATAGTAGATTTCATTCGCATTATACCCGCTTTTATGTCCGCAAAGTATTTTCTGACGAATGAGAGTTTACACACTGTTAGAAATAAATGAAATTTCGTGGACAGTCGACTATTAATTTTCAGGACAGCAACATTGAATTGGATTTAGGCGAAAAAAATCATGAAATTTCAGATTTTACTGAAAAATCAGTAAAATTCGAGACGAGAATTCCTTAACTTGAATTTCCAATCTAATATGAGGATTCAGCGCCAAATTTCATTGAATTTTCAGTGAAATCTGAAATTTCATGATTTTTGCCCCCCTAAATCGCATTCACTGTCACTGCCCTAAAAATTGAAGAATATATTTACTGCATTTTTCTGGTTTTCTATTCATTTTCAGGGAAAAATGGAACTGAAATCTACAGTTCTCTTTGATTTTTCCACGAAATTGTGAATTTTCAATGACGAAATTCCTTGAAATTTCAGTGGTAATTACATTCGATAAAAATTTCCAAAAAGTGTACCGGAAATTTCAGATAAAAATTTTTAACAGTGCAATTGAGTCGAAAGTGAGGATTATAATCACATCCGTCAGGAAATACTTTGTGGATCGTGAGATGTAAACTATCTTAAGTATCGGCTGAGCGAATCGAGGTTAAAATCGGGGTTTGTGGCGCCTCGAAACATAAAATATTGTACTCAGTTCATTATAATTCTCGCCTTTCGCTAGGATTATAAAATCAGATTCGTAAAAAAATACTTTTATCAGTATTTTTGTCATGATGTCCGAGGCGCGCCCATGAATCCCTGCTATACGGATAAAATTGCAAAATAGTAAATTTCGTTATTAGGCCAAAAAAAAAGTTCTGGGGAATATGAGTTTGCAGCCCGAGCCGAAGGCGAGGGCGATGAGCTAAACTTATTTTTTGTCATAACAAAAAAACGCGGCGCTTAGTTTTTTAATAATAAAAAAAGCTATTTTCTGCAGCCAAATATGTCATCTCGTGAGGACAAACGGCTTGGGACAAGAATTCCGCATAATAAGACATGCCATGTCCGAATTCCGTGAGGCGTTTATGACTTGAACATGAATACTTCACGTTGAAATGAGAGTTTCTTGGCATGATGTGAGAGTTCCTCTCGTGTCAGATAATGAAGCGAAAATGACCTGAATTGGGGACTCGTATCGAATGAATACAGAAATCATGTAAAGGAAAATATTCATGCATTCCCGAAATATGGCCATCGCCCGCTCGCAATCGCAATGAGTTTCAAGGAAAGAAATGACCCCGTCCTCTTATTTCAAACTTCTCTTATCGTTTCGAGAATATTAACTTCATTTGAAAAAGAATAACTATTTATCCTCCAGTATTGCTATCCACTACTCCGATATGATTTCTGAATCCGATCGTGCATTGATCGAATCTTTATCTACTTTCTCAGGCCACGAAAATATCATTGCGACATTCGCCCGTTCCATCCGCAAATGTTAGTATTTTCTTCCAACCGTGTAATGCACATGCACCTACTTGGGTCTTCCCCTTCCAGGAAACGATTTTCTCTCAAATATCGGTGAGGGTTCCGTAGACGTGCTAGATTCTGGTCCATGGTACAGGAAGTCTGCAACACACGAGTAAAAAATCATTCATCCCCGTCGCCTCCGAAATTCTCAACATTACGTGTCATGCAGATTTCAATAAAATACAAAAAAAAATGAACCAAGTATTAACAAAAAAAAGAGAGAATGTGAGAAAAAAGGAGAGTGGCGCACTGTGGACACGCGCGTCGGCTGTAAATGCCGAGTGATGCGAATCGACGAGGTGATTGGAAGACTCAGTTCGGCTGCTGGTCCCGACTTCCGTGTCGCTGTCCGAGCCCAGGGTGTCGTATTCCTCCGACTCGGACTTGCCGTGATTGGTCTTGTGAGTTTTATGCAATGGCGCTGAGGACGAACGGCCTCCGCGCACCTTAGTGTACCGGTTGCAATCCGACTGCAATCAGACGGAATTTGTTTTTCTTTTCAGCATATTTCTTTTTTTTGAACTAATTTAACGGAGCAAGCCACATAACCGTGGAATTAATTCGTCCTCTCTCTGTTATAATTAATGTGTTATCTTTGTGATAATAGATAATTTTATTGTTGAACGATTGATGTTTTATGCTGCGAAACGAATTAAAGGGACCAGCAGTCGTGTGAGATAATGAACTAGCCACTTGGATCTGTGTTGTTCTTAAACACATGACACAAGACGTTTTCTATCGATAGTAAATGTGACAGCTATACGAGATGACGATGAAATGATTGTGAATACGCTAATGATATTGTTTTGGGGCTCTAGGTGAAGTACACGTGCATGCGAGTTTAAAAAGTGCCAGTAGTGCATAGTCTAGGTGATTTTCTGTACCATGTGATAGACAGAGAGGAATTTATTTTACGTTTTTTTAACAGTTGCTATTATTCATCAACCATTGGATGGATTTTTTTACCTCGCGTAATTGCAGTGTGTCGGCAGTGGACAGTCTTGGATCGTGATATACGAAGGTTTGGAGGGGGGCGGCTGATTCACAACGGCTGTCACCTCCAGGGGGAACACTCTCTTTCAACTGGAATGTTGCGTATGGGTAGATATCCTCGGAGAATTCTGTAAGCGGTCAATAATTGGGTTTCCGGTGAATATGAAAATCTACTGAAACTGCTGCATCGAGAGAAAAAATGACTTGATGTTACAAAACTAATTTCTTCGGGCAAATACGTAAGCTCTTGAGGACGAATGGATTCGAACGAAAATTCGTGGAACGTGAAAGGACATGTACGAATTTCGTAAAGTGTTGGTCATGGCTTGAACATGAACACACTGTTAAAACAAATTGAAATTTCGTTGATAGTTGACTAGTAACTGTCAGGGGAGTGACATGGAGGTCGATTTGGAGGAAAAGAAAATCACGGAATTGAAAATTTCGCTGACTATTCAATAAAATAGCAAATTTGTAAGCGGTAGGAAAGGAGAATTCCGTAACTCACACGAAATTTCAACCAAAACATGAATATTCAGTACCAAGTTACGCAAAATGTTGAATTAATTGAAAATTCATGAATATTTTCTCCTGAATTTTCATGAGATCTGTTGATTTTTGATGGAATAATTCATCTGAAATTTACCATTTCCACTGATTTTCATAATATTTTGAATTTTCAATGATGAAATTCCTTGAAATTTCACACGAAAATTTTAAACATTCACTTCACGATGAAGTGAGAATTGCTTAGCTCAGGAAATCTTTTGTTCGTGTGAGGAGATGAGAAAATGACTCAAAATACTGAAAGCTTCGACCCAGTGAATGAACACCGAAGTACTGCAGAGGAAAATCTCCAGATACTTCTGAAATATGACCGTCTCTTGCTCTCAATCGCAATGACTTTGAAGGAAAGGAATGAGCCAATCTTCTTACTTCAAACTTTTATCATCTTTTCGAGAATATCACTTTCTTTCGAGGAGAGGAAATGGATTTTTCATTCAGTATCCTACAACTTTCCGCCGAGGACCACCAATTTCACGCTATTTTCTCAGCTCCAGAAATGATCTCTGTGATAATCCGCAGTTTTTTCTCTCAGTTTGGAAATCAATTCAACGGGAAAATCGACACTCACCGGGAATTCTCTCGAGCGTCGCCATTTCGTGGATGGGTGATCTCAGGGGTTTTCTCACAGTAGCGTAGTACTGCTCTCGTTGCTCCATATTCTGTTTATTGTCCAATGCGGCAGCATTTTGAGCATCGTGAAGACTACCAATATCGCCTAATAATGGACGTTTACGGAAGCAGTAAAATACTGCACCGGCTGCCGCAATTATGGCAAATGAGCAAAGTATCAGTGGAACGATAAGTTTGAGGTCAGCCAATACGGAATCGTTCTGGGGTATATACTGATCTATCTCGATGCCGCTGGGTAGGGTTGTTGTAATGTGGGGCTGGAGTGTTGTTATCTTGTACTCAGCCACTGATGAGCCGGCGTTATTATGAGCTCTAACACGTACATCATAGGTCGTTCCCGGTTGGAGATCACTTACGGTGTACGACTTCTGAACCTGCAATAGCATATTTTATGAAAAGAATTCAAGGGGAAACGCCAGTGTTCCAACTTTCTATTTTTTCCTTCTCATTTTTGTTTCTTATTCCAATAATTTAAAGAGAAAAACTTCCAAAATTTGCCCTCAGCGTTTTTCGTGGAAAACCACATTGACAGAATGTAATCACGTATGAAAAAATCGTATAGAAAGTTTCTATACGATTTGCGTATAGAATTTCTATAGGTTTTTCGTATATGATATTCGGATATTTCTATACAAAAATTCCCTATACGGATTATTTCTATACGAATTCGTGTAGAAATTCGTATAGAAATGAACCGTATAGGAAATTTTCGTATAGAAATATCCGAATATCATATACGAAAAACCTATAGAAATGCT